GCCAGGGATTGGCTCTGGGAACTCACACGAGAACTTCCCGATGGGTCACCCATCCTGGGAATGCTCTTGTGCGCTACTCGCTTAACTTCGAAGTTCCTATGGAACCCGAAGCCAGTGAGCTCCCAAAAGGCCTCGTGCTAGGTAGGGATGAGAATATACATTTAAGGATCACTCCCCTGGGCGATGTGGGATGTCACAATCCACCCCCCTTAGGGGCCCGACGTCCTCGTCGGCACATTTCCGGCCAGGGATTGGCTCTGATACCAATTTGTCACATCCCGACCCGGGGCGGACCACATCCTGGGCCCGCTCCACCACCATAGCACGATATTGTCCGCTTTGGGCTTACCATTCCCTCACGATTTTGTTTTTGGGAACTCACGAGCAACTTCCCAGTGGGTCACCCATCATGGGATTGCTCTAGCCTCATTCTCGCTTAACTTTGGAGTTCCTACGGAACCCGAAGCCAGTGAGCTCCCAAAAGGCCTCGTGCTAGGTAGGGATGAGAATATACATTTAAGGATCACTCCCCTGGGCGATGTGGGATGTCACACTTCCCGGGCCTACTTCATCACCGTAGCACGATATTGTCCGCTTTGGGCTTACCATTCCCTCACGGTTTTGTTTTTGGGAACTCACGAGCAACTTCCCAGTGGGTCACCCATCATGGTATTGCTCTAGCCCTCTTCTCGCTTAACTTCGGAGTTCCTACGGAACCAGAAGCCAGTGAGCTCCCAAAAGGCCTCGTGCTAGGTAGGGATGAGAATATACATATAAGGATCACTCCCCTAGACGATGTGGGATCTCACAATCTACCCCCTTTAGGGGCCCGACGTCCTCGTCGGCACATTTCTGGCCAGGGATTGGCTCTGATACCAAATTGTCACATCCCGGCCCGGGGCGGATCACTTCCCGGGCCCGTTCCACCACCGTAGCACGATATTGTCCGCTTTGGGCTTACCATTCCCTCACGGTTTTGTTTTTGGGAACTCACAAGCAACTTCCCAGTGGGTCACCCATCATGGTATTGCTCTAGCCCTCTTCTTGCTTAACTTCGGATTTCCTACGGAACCAGAAGCCAGTGAGCTCCCAAAAGGCCTCGTGCTAGGTAGGGATGGGAATATACATATAAGGATCACTCCCCTAGACGATGTGGGATCTCACATTATGAGTTCTATTTAAAATCTCATTAATATAAACAACTACAAATTTTAAATTTTAATTTTAAAAAAAATAGTAACCTACATAGAAATACATTATTATAGTAATGTCCAGGAATTCGATAAAAATCTAAAAACCAACAAAATATCAGTAAAAGAACATTAATAACCATAAATCGCATCCAAAATATCCCAAAATAAAAATCATCTTTAAAAGACACATTGCTTGAAATATTATCACGGAGCTAGCTAGACAAAACAGAAAATACTCACAAACAATCAAAACTATCTGTAATGCATTGCCTTCCAAAAACAAAGAAAACACCAAAGCTAGAGTTTAACACTAATGTTCCATTTTGAAAAGAGGCAAATGCCTTGTCATTCAAGTATGCACAAGGTATAAACTCCTTCTAAGATGTGAAATGTGTGAATGTAATTAATGTGGTCTCATGCACATCAAATTTACAGTCACGATCCAAAAACAAGTTGAATAGTTTGCATGTCAGTCATTTGTCATGTTCTTAAAAAAGAATGAATACGAACAATTAGGGCATGTTTGTTTAGTTTCACTAGGCCTCATTGAATTGGATTAGATTAAAAGCTAGTGTAGTCCAGTGTTTGTTTGCAAGAGGGACTAAGTTTAATGAGACTAGGTGGGATTCGCTTTGACTAAAGCACTCGTTAGGTGGTCTTAGCGAGACCCCTCAAAAGGAGCGGACTGCTAAGACCCTCTTCTCTTTGCTTCACCCTTACCCAGTCCCCGATTCTCTATTTCTTTATGTATTTCCTCTCTCTCTGCTTGAAGCTTCAGATGTTCATGGTGGCTAGGCTGCTTGGCATCATTGATCAGAGGTGATGACCCAGATTCTTCCACCACCGACATCAGCCATGGTGGCTGGACAACAACAGCCTCGTTGCTCATGGTGACCCATATTCTTCTGTCGACAGCATCATTGCTTAGAGATTGTGACCTAGGATTTTGAAATTTAAAAGTTTTGGGTGCAAAGGGTTGGGTTGGAAACATAGTTAGGGAAATTTTGTGCAAAGGACTGGTGCAAGATTGAAAACTTTAGCATTGGGTGAAGAGAATTTGAGTGATTTTTCTTGCACAACTATGATTTGTCCAGAAAATACAGGTACCAAATATGAAAAAAATAGCAAAATAAATACAAAGGGAAGGAGGGGAAATGGGACACTGGTACAGAAGTAAAACCGGAGAAAAAATTGAGGGGAATGAGACTGGTACAAAGAAAAGGAGGGACAAAAATGGAAGAAAAGGGGAATGGGGAGGGAGTGGCGGAGAAAAAGATGAATGAAGAGATCGGAGAGGAAGATGGTTCTAAAAAAATAGGGAAAAAGATAAAGTAATACAAAATATTAATTGATATATTAAATTAAAAATAAAATATTAATAAATATAGATGAAATAATATAATATTATAGTCCTGCTTCTTAGTCTAACACTGCATCAAACGTTTCACTAAGTTAGTCCAGTTTAGTCCCTGAAGCTAGTCCAGTCTTACACAGTTCTGTGAAACAAACGCACCCTTAGAGTGTATTCGTATAGAATTATCTTGTTTTTCAAGTTTAAACTTAGCGTTGATAAAAGTGTACCCGTATATAGCCACCACCTACGTCAACTATAAAGTAAATATTCAAAAAGAAAACTCACAACACTATGTAACAGTATCATTAACATATACCAGTTTGTGATTTGTGTCAATACATAATCATGTCGCATTCCGTCTTTGCCAAGCGAACTTGGGTCACGATATATTAGTTTTTCTCCAATTGGCACAACTTAAGTAGGGTCCTCTATGGGATTTCAGAACCCTGTGCGAAATTTATAAATGAGCCCCTTCTTAAGATAGTTTTCCAAAAAAATTAGGATAATGTATTGATGCTAGAAAACAATAATTTAAATAAAAAACAAACTTTAGGACTCACTAATCTATGTATACAAATCTTATTAAATAATAAGTAAAAAGAGCTATAAATATAACCTTTACTAAATAATAAAAAAGCAGTTCAATCTTAAACGATCAAACAAGAAAAAATGCTTCAAAAACTCTAATTTTAAAGTTTCATTTAAATATATAGCATTATTAGACAACAAAATTTGAAAAAGAAATTGTTTTTAGGGTGTTATTATTGACAATCTAAATATTTCATTTTGCACTTTAAACTTTTATATTCAGAAAAAAAAATCACATTTATAAAGAGTGCACAATGAAATTTTATGGGGCTAATAAAAGCAATTTTGCAAGTAGCCCCTTACCATTGTGGTGAAAAAGTGTTGAGCTTTTGCAAGATGTCATGAGTTCAAACCCCATCGTTAGCTAAGCTAACATCTAATTTAACAAAAATCTATTAGTTGAAAAACAAAAAAAAAAAATAAATAAAAGGAATTTTAAATATATATCATATTAACATTAGGATTAATCTCAGTTTACTACACTCAAGTTTCTTGATTTTCAACATTTAGTACATCAAGTTTTTTTCATTCCAGAGTGGTACATAAAGTCAAAATTTTAGAACAGTTTCATACATCATTTAAAGTTGCTGTTAAGTCAGCCATTAACTGGTGACGTGACGCACACATAGACAATGATAATATATATAAAAAATATTCTTCTCCCCGTCTTTGATCTCCACCATTAGTATCCCCTTTACCAGGACTCAAGGTCGAGTCCCTCCAGTTCGAGGAAGAAATTCACCGACTCATGACCGTGCTGCCGGAGAACGCTACCCTTAAAGACTGCCCAAGCAAGGACCATATTCCCACATTTCGCATACATGTCAATTAGAGCTGTACCAAGAACTGGGTTAGTGAAAAATTCATCTTTATCCGTCAAATTGCTAGCCCAGTCCCTTAATTTGAGCGCTCATAATCTTGCACAAGTAGAAAGTACGCCGACCATGGCATAGCAATTGGGTTTCAAATTCTCCTCCTGCATTTGAAAGAAGAGGTCTATGGCTTCTTTAGGAAGCCCATTTGATGCATATCCCTGAATCATGCTGCTCCAAGAAACTATATCCTTCTCGGGCATCACATCAAAGACGCGATGAGTTTTCTCCATATTTCCGCACTTGGTATACATATCAACTGAAGAGGTATATGTATCCATCAATCCATTCCCCACTACCTATATCCCCTAACGCTCTTCCAACGCCCCTTAACATAAGACCGAGCCGTCCTCTTATTTTATTATGACTCAAAGATGTTTTCAGTCCTACAACGACGGCTCGTTTTGTCCCTAGCCAAGTGCCAAAGATGAGTTGGCATGCATCATTTCAATTTCTCATCTGCTAGAGATGCTTCTCTCTGCACTGAACTTCATTCTACCTTAAGCCTTTTAAAATGTTATGAGCCCCCGAACAATTTTGTAAACAAATTACAGGTAGCCTAGCTGTATTAGGGTTCAGGGTAATCAAGCAACAAAATCAAGCAAAATTATCATAAGACAAGTTTATGACGTCTTTACGTGATACTAACAGATGAGAGCTAAAAAACTTAAATATACATTCATTTTAACCATCTGATAAATTATTTGTATGTGATAACAAGACCAAATAGATAATTCGTTTTAGGGTAGTTATTTTTAGGTTTTGATGTGTAATAAAAAGATCAAATTCCTCCTAATAACTAGCATACATCAAGAAAATCCAACAGAATTTAGCAGTAAATAGAAATCACAAATAAAATTGATATTTGACCAACTACATGTCACGATCACTTATCTTCTTAATTCCTCCTCAATTTATTTCCTCTTTCCCCACTATAAATGCTTTGACCACCAACTCCCCAATCCTCCAAAGGAAAAGGAGAGGATCCACCATCTCCCAAAACACCACCACAAAAAGGGAAAAAAAACCATGGCTACCACCAAGTTCCTCCTCTCCCTTCTCCTCCTCGTCCAGCTCGCCGCCACAGCCTACTCCATCGGTGTAAACTACGGTACTCTCGGCGACAACCTCCCGCCACCAGCCAAAGTCGCCGACTTCATCAAAACCCAAACCAACATCGACGCTGTCAAAATCTTTGACACCAACCCCGACATCATCAAGGCCTTCGCCAACACCAACATCTCCTTGACGATTACCATCCCTAACGGAGACATCCCGAAACTCATAAAGCTGCGCACCGCTCGCCGTTGGGTCGTTGATCATGTCAAGCCGTTTTACCCGGCAAGCAAAATCAAATACATTGCCATGGGCAACGAGGTGCTTCACTGGGGGGACGATGCTCTCAAGTCGAATCTCGTCCCTGCCATGAAGACCTTACACAACGCTTTGGTCCGCGAGGGGATCAAAGACGTCAAGGTCTCGACCCCTCACTCGCTCGGAATCATGTTGTCTTCCGACCCGCCCAGCATGGGCCGGTTTAGACCGGAGGTGATTCCAATCCTGACCCAAATGCTCCGATTCTGTCGCCAGACCAAGTCGCCTTTCATGGTTAACCCGTACCCATACTTCGGGTGGTCACCCGAAAAGGAGAGCTACGCTCTCTTTAGACCCAACAATGGTGCGCACGATAAATTCACTGGCAAGTTTTACACTAACATGTTCGATGGGTTGATGGACGCGGTTTACTCAGCTGCCAAGGCAATTGGGTTTGGTGATGTGAACTTGATCGCGGCCGAGACCGGTTGGCCTTCGGCTTGCGAGTTCCCAGTCTGCTCGGTTCAGAACGCTGTGGACTACAACGGTCACTTGATCAAGCATATTGAGTCCGGGAGGGGTACGCCCTTGATGCCAAACCGGAAGTTCGAAACTTACATCTTTGCTCTGTTTAATGAAAACCAGAAACCTGGTCCAGCCGCGGAGAAGAACTTTGGGCTGTTCAAACCAGACATGACTCCGGTTTACAATGCTGGGGTTATGCGCAATCAACAGGTTGGTTCTTGATTAAATATTTAATTTTTAATTGATACCTTTTTTGATCCGTCACCTGTACCTTAGATTAAGCAAATTTTCTAGATTCGGTGTTTTGTTTAGGGAATTATTATTAACACTCTGAAAATTTTATTTGACATTTCTCACAATTGTATTTTTCTTTCTAATTATAAAATGTTTAGAATGCTAATAACAATTTTTTTTGTTTATTGTTTTAAATTAAATAATGTTGCATGGGACATTTCTACATCCGACTAAAAAATGTGGAAAATAATATAATTAACAAAAAAATAAATGTCTAAAGTGAACCGACGACATCGGTTTTTGGTTTTGTTTTTTATTTTTCAGAAAAATGAAATTGTTATTATCACTCAAATTTCTAATTTAATGTAAATAATTAGAGGAATATTACGGGGACTCTCTTAATTGTGAGATTTTTTAACACCTCATAGTTTAGAGTAATGTTAGAGAGACTAAATTTGTAGACTAAATTATCAAACCAAATAAGGTGTCACCAATAGAAATTGAGCACGTTTAGCAACGATTAAGTAATAATCCAATCACCAACTTCCATGTTATTTAGTTTATAAAATTTAGTCTCCCTATCATTACTCCATAGTTTAACTTCTTGTTAACATTATAAAATATCGTGCAAAAAACATGAGATGGTAAAGAGTAAATGCAGAGTCTCACTTTTGAGAAATTCCCCTTAACATTTCTCAAATAATTATGTTTCATAATGAGTCAAAATAAGAAGCAAATAAAACGAATCGGTACTAAACATTATTTGTTGAACAATATTTGTGGATATCCAAGTAATCACACAAAAATTTTAGAAAGTGAATTGGCATTTGATGCAAACGTATAATTTTAGTAGTCACTTCATGTTCTTTGTTAGGGTAAAAATTAACCAAATAGAATTCTCATCGTATCAATTTAAGATGTATTTTAATTGATATTTCAATTTACACTCAATTACAAAAATGAATTTCGAACTTTTAAGTGCATTATGACAAATATATTGTCTTCACACACTGACCTAACTCGCATATTGTATTATTGTTATTGGTAGAATGATATTGTCTTATGTATACTAAATTGTTGTATGATTTAGGGTGGTGCAACTCCTGGACCAACAATGCAAATTCCAACACGGCCTTCTACACCAGCTGGACCAACTACACCAGCTGCACCTAAACGCGGGAAAAAGGGAAAGCCTGCTGGACCAGCAAAATCAACAACACCAGCAACGCCGGCAACACCCGCAGCGGGAGGCAAAAAGCCGTAAATACAACGCTTGAGCTTGAGGAGATGATTTGAGGAACGGAAGAAATGGTGTTGACCATAATTTTTTTTTTTTTCAAATTTTTTAATTTTTAATTTTTGGGAATGTTGGTGACTATGATGCCTTTGGAAATTAATTAGTATATGATTTAATTTTTAGTTAATTATACTTTACCATCTTGATTTTGAGTCACATTACAAATTCATACCTCATCTTCTCAACATTACAATATCATATATCAACTTAAGGATTCGTTGTAATATCTATTCCATCATTAATCAATGCTTTAAATTGACTGCTAACTGCTGATGTGACATACGCAAAGCCTACTCCCTCGACTAGTTGGATTGAAAAATTAATTAAATATTGATAAAATAATATACAACTTAATTTAAAAACAGCGGGCTCCCACCCCTACCAACCAAATTAGTCACTGACACTGCTTCTATTTTTACTGGTGTGATATGGGGAGAAGAGAAGCGGGGAGAGAGAAGAGGGAAAGAGTTTATTTTTAATTAATTTTATTTTTGTTCAGATGAAATAATCTTAATTTATTAATACTTAATTAATTTCTCAATCAAATAGAGCGAGGGGGGGTTCATGTCCTACATCATTATTTAACAATCAAATTGATAGAAATTTAGCGAAGATCGATATTGCAATGAATTTGTAAATTGATGTATGATATTGTAATGTTTATAGACAAATTATTAATTTGTTATGCGACTCTAAGTTAAGATGATAAAACATAATTTACTCGTTAATTTTATATTACAAAACAATTTGAGAGGCTCCATTAATTTGAGATCTTTCTTATTGTAATTGTCGGAAACAAAATTTTTGGACCAAAAAAAAGAGTGCAAAAATCGGAAATTATTTGCATTTGTTTCAAATTTCAAACCCTAACGTAATCAAATTGGCTAAATAGAATGTTTCATCTCTACACTCAAGTTTTGGTCTTTCTTTCCGTACTTATGATTGGAAAAGAATGAACATAAAGCAATCAAGAATTACTTCTTACAAATCTGCCTAAAAAAATTAACAACTTAAACTTAAAAGCAACATCGCTAAAAGAAAGGGAAAAAAAAAAAAAAATTCTTAAAAGCAACACTACACATTTTGGGCTGTGCCAACAGTTCTCAAATTGCTTTCTTGAGAATTAAGCAGGTCTTGCCCAGCCAAGACTATTGGTAGAAGAGTTATCTTTGGGCTTTGACAACATTTAGACCAAAGGACACTACAAAAAATATCACTTACTTGTGAATGATATGAAGCAGGATGTCGGAAAAAGATCTCAAGTTTGAATCATCATACGATAAATGAAGTAAATGGTGCGTGAAAGCATAATATATTGCTTACAAACCAAGGGCCCCGTGATAACAACATCCAACCTGCAGCCTACAGTTCTGTCTCTGTATAATGTATTTATATGGATCATACAAATTCATTCACTAATTTCCCTTGAATGAATCATTGCTTTCAAGCTTCTTCTCCATGTTGTCAACGTCGAAGAGTGCCATCGAAGGATGGAAATCTAATCCTAAACTGGATTAACAGTTGCAGACTCATTTTCATGCTGTATTGTACTTGGCATCATCAGGAATAGTTTCTATGTAAGTGGCCAGTTGTTTTCTGGATTGATTGTTATTATTATATGTTGGTTTCTTGTGTTTTAAGCAAGTATAGACATAAAATGCTTTTTTGGTAAGTCGATCTCAATTAATCTGAGATGACTTTGTTAGGATTGTAAACTGCATGCCTCTCATCATTTCTCTTCCACATGATATATATTCATAGTTGGTACTCTTGCAATCAATTTACCAACTCAATGAATAAAACAAAATTATGAGGATATCCAGTACACAATCTTATGTATATAGCATGTAATGTTTCTTTACTCAAAAAAAAAAAAAAAAATGTAATGTTTCTTCACATACATTAATTTGGAAAAAGAGAATATAAATACTGCATATATCAAATCGTTAGGTTTCGATCTATGCAAAGTAATTTGATCACAGTAGGAAGTATCATGTATTTATGTGCATATTTGGACGTAGTATTTCTATTTTTGTTATATTCCTTGTACATTTTTTTCCGGTTATAATGTTCCTTTATATGTCATTCCGAGAGACGACAAGAGTTGAGTTTTTCTCATGTTGTGAGTAAGTGCTCTGTCATTGAACTTATATTAGTAGAGTGACAAATAAGGCGAATCGTGTATATCTACACTTCGGTTACATGTATTGAAGAATCATCTTCAACCCATGAAATCTCAATATTCACTTACCAAATCATATCACTATCATCCCATTCCATAGTTTAGCCTTAAGAAGAAGTGAAAAAGAAAAACCAGAGTGGAAATCACTACCTCGACGTTCATTCTTATAGATATCTCTTTATCTTTTCCTTTGTTTGAAAAAGGTGGATGCACCATTGACAGATAGACTCCCATTTAACTTCTGAGTTTCATTTTTATAAATATTTTATACACGTGTTGTACTCTTTGTAGTGCTTCAAAATGACAAAGCTATCAAAATAAATTTTGCTAGGCCCCCTTATTGCCCATCGGAATATCTTGTAAGAGTTGATTGTTTTAGTTGGTCCTCTCACAAGCTCTAGTCTAGCATATCTTTCCCATGAATTGATTGAAGGCAACGGTGACTTTGGAAGGAAACCACTTTAATATAATGGGAAGACTTTTGGGTTGTCATCATATGAATCACATATGAGGCAACCATACCTTATCTCTCTACTACATAATGTTAGATATTCTTCATTGAGTATAAATCTTTCCTCTCATACTAACAGAAGTTTTTAAGCAAATTGTCGTATTTGTTAACTAATATGTATAGAAATTATTTGTACAAGGAGGTGATCGTCTTTTTTTGTTAAAGGATGAATTTTTGTATCGATAACACACTGATATATTCACTATTGACGTCTTATCAACACAACATCAATAATTTGTTCTTAATTAAAAAACCGAACATCCTATTAAAAAGAAATGTTAATTCATGTATGTGAATCTCATATTGCATTAGCAGTTGAAATTAGGGATCGACGATAAATGAATTTGAGCAAATGGGTGCAATTATGATTGGAGGGGTCTTTAAAATGTGGTCCTATTCCTCTCACTTGTCAAACATAGGAAGGTAAATCATCATTTACAAACCCAAAATCTTCTATTTAGTTGCACACGTTATGTTTCTGAATTGTAGTAAAATGAGAAAAAGAATAACTGCCTTTTGGTTCATCAGAGAGAAGTCAGCTGAATCTTAAGTAGATCAGTTTGGTGTCTTGCCAAAATCCATGCCATCTATTTTGGTGAGCCAGACCCTATATAATTCAAGGACCAACCTGACCTATAACCTATTTCAACTTTACATGAACATAACACTGTAAAGAATGTGCACATAAATTATACATCTTACGTTTACATAATACATGTACAATGTCTTGTGGCATCATCAAACATATATGGAAAGCAATGGATAAGTTTTTCTTCGGAGAAAATGTGTCGTATATATCACCAATTTTTACAACTGTATGTTCATTTCTCTCATCATGTACATTATTAGAGAAAAATATCCTAATTACCATATGACAGTTTTATGTAATTTAGTAATATGAAAAATATACACATAATTATATCCAATCGGTGATATGATAGATTTTTTCTGACTAATGGTTATTCCGCATCACCCATGAACCTTCCCTCTAGAAGGGGTCTCCATGTAAAGAATCAAAGATACGAATAGGAGAAAAGATGAAGTTTAAGAAATAAGAGTAGACATGTAATTATATACAACTGGTGATAAACAGATTTTGGTTATCCTGTGTCACCTAAGAATCGATCCCCTAATGAAGGGGAGATTCCCTCATTTCACAAACTCACTATGTATTGAATGAACGATGCACTTTTTGAATACATGACAAATATTTATTAAATAATAATATCGCTAAAAGTAAACTTAGGGCTGGTTTGGTATTGCTGTGCTTTGAAAAAAAGCTGCTTCAGCTGTGCTGTGAAAATAAGCAGCTGTGAAATAAAGCAGCAGAGTGTTTGGTAAACTTTTTTGTAAAAGTGTTTTTGAAAAAAAAAAGCAGTATTATAGTATTTGGTAAACTTTTATGTAAAACAGATATGAAAAAAAGCCAGTTTTTCAAAGCTGGGTTTTGCAGCTTCTTGTTTTTGGCTTTTTTTCACCCAAAACTGTGAAAAAAAACTGAAGCTGAATGTTTACCAAACACAAAAACAGCTCCCAGCTTTTTTTGATACCAGCTTTTTTCAGAATCACCTCAGTACCAAACCAGTACTTAGTTGCATGAGAAAATCTTGAGTCTCAATCTAAAGATGCAGCGGCAGCATCATCACCCATTTATTATTCTTTTCCGTTGATTGAATAAAATAAACTAATCACATTTATATAATATTGGATTAGCAAAACTAAAAAGAAACATTAAAACTCCAATACAATATACCATCCAAAGCTATATTTATCATACATTAACAAAAACCCACCAAGCAAAACCCACCAAGCAGCACCCACCAAAAACCCAAGATATTCCTCCTCTACAAACAAATCATGGGAGAGAAAGAGAAGAAGATCAACAACAAAAACAAGAAGCAAAAACACCAACATCCAAATGACCAAACAACAAAAACAGCGTCAGAATTTTCCTTCAAGCCAAGCTCTGAAGTCAAAGGCCTACGCTTTGGAGGCCAGTTCGTCGTCAAGTCCTTCACAATCCGTCGAGCAAGGCCATTGGAGCTTTTCCAACTCCTCTCATTCCCACCCAGCAAACCCAGAAACGATAAGCTTCCTTTTCCTTCCACCACAGCTTTTCTCCCCACAAACTTCACTATCTTGGCGCACCAAGCTTGGCACACCCTCACATTAGGCCTTGGCACCAAGAAGTCCAAGGTGGTTCTGTTCGTTTTCGAAACCGAGGCCATGAAGGCCGCCGTGGACCGCCTTTGGCCGCCGGAAATCCCACTTGGGAAAGTGAACAAGCGGCTCATCAGAGGGCTGAGTGGCTGTGAGATGGCTAGGTTTAAATTCAGAAAAGGGTGCATTACTTTTTATGTGTATGCAGTCAGGCAAGTTGGAAACTTGGGTTTCTCAAGTGCTGATGATCTCAGAACAATTTTGCAGTCTGTGGTGGCGCTTCAAGATTTCTTGGATCACACTGCTATGCTTGCCATGCCTAACCAGAGAACCATTAGCTATGCAAATTCTCATCCTGTGGCCATGGCTCACTAGGAAAATTTTCATATTTTTAACTTCTTTTTTCATGAACATTATTATCTTCTATTAGGGTGTTAATTTGCTTAATTGGGTTGTTGACCTTTTTTCTTGGGTTTTGTTATTATGAGGGGGAAATTGGTTTATTTGTTGAGGATATTAAATCGTTAATTTTGTTGGAAGCAAATTGTGTATTTTAGTATGAATAAAGAATTCTGTTATTTATAGTGAATTGAGCTTCCCTATATGTTCATATATCGGTGTTCACTGTATACGGCACATGCTGCTGCGGAATTCTGAATTCAGCAGAGGTAAGTGACAGATTTTGCGACAGTTTTTTTATTGATATTAAAATTTAAAAATTCAAGTCCATCTTTGTAGTTCAAGTCCTATAATTTCATATTTTAGCCCAAATTACATGAGAAAACTTTGCATGCAACGATTTTATATCCTTGCATCTGTGATCCCGTACAGTGAGAATGTGACGAGAGATTGCAGGTAAGTTTTACTCAAATTGTGGAGGATTAGTTGAAGAGTTTGCATGATAATTAGTACCTGAATTATATAAATATTTCTGATTCTGAAAATTGACACAGCTATTTAGTAAATTGTCCCCAGATTTTAACCCCCGTGAACTAAACATCGAAGCTACAAAGCCACACATCCTGCCCATTGGTTTAGAACAACGTTCTGTTTTTATCTTATTATATTTACGGCAAAAATTTGTTGAGAGGTTAAAACTTAAAATGTTCCTCTAAATAAATAAAAATCAATAATTTAGTTATTAATAAGTTCCAATGTATGGTATATGAATGATCATGGATGTGAATGTGATGTTAATGATGTGATGAGTGATGAGGATGGTTCGTAAAAGGTCTGTTTGGCACGATGGAAAAAGCAAGAAAAATGGGGTAGGGTTTGAAGGTTGAAGGGCCAATTTCTCCACCTATGTGCTCTTTTTTTTTCCCTAAAATTAATTAATTTCTACTCTTGTGGCTTTAATCATGAGCATTCCTCGAGAGAAGGCCCATCTTCTCAACTACCTTTATTTTCGAAGGAATCGTGGACATCTCTGTCCCCTCCATTCTTGCCAACTTTACTGCATTGAGCTGCTTTATGTATACGGCCACATGTACATGTATCACATATGCGTGGGGGTAATAAGTGTTCTACACCACCTCTATGTTGGACTCATAATTAGGGCATAAGATATCATATGGTGTCACATGCAATACTTCATCTACATAAAAGTTCTTACGCCAAGAGACTTGTAGCTTAGTTAAGAACGTAAACATATCTGCAATTGAAAACAAAAACACTTATTTATATATTTTAGAGATATTATTGGACTGAATTGTAAATCACAGTCATATATTTTAACTTTCTCATATCAAAATACGTTTTACCGTGATAACAACATCTCTGTTGCATGAATGTTGATGTCATATCTTCAATACCACCATCCCCATATCGCTGGTATGGAAAAGAAAAGAGAATACCAAGTTATAAAAGGTTGGTAAAATGATTGCCGGTGCATTGTTTGTGGTTTTAACATCTAAACTTGACAAACGTGTGGACTTTTCGTGTTGATACACCTAGTAGCCTGAATTGTTTTGTTTGTGTCGTGTACAAGTTACAGTAGCTATACAAACACAGAAATGCGAAGAAAACCCCAGAAGATATGGTAATTACCTGTTTGTATGCTAATTTCTGTTGGAACGGAAGAAAGCAGCTCATATACAAAAGGCCGAAGAAGTCCTTAACTGGTTTGTAAAGATAGTCCACAGGCTTCTATAGTCAAGACTCAGGAATCAGTTAAAGAGCCAGAGCAATGAGTAGGTTACAGTCAAAATGCGACATTTAGACCACCCAGAGATAAAATAAAAGTTAGTTGACCAAGATATAGAGGTCACAAAAACACAAGAAGTTAAAAGTACTTGTAAAAACACATGCGAGTTAGATCAGTTTTAATCTGTCCGCCAAAAAACAAAAAGGATGAGTGATCTCGTCGAACACAATTAGACTAAACGTACTCTTACTTTTTTAAAAACCAAAAAATGCATGTCGCTTACTTTTTAATAAGAACGTCAAGGAAAATGAAACATAAAAAATTGGAAACGCCCACCGTGGGGCTCGAACCCACGACCACAAGGTTAAGAGCCTTGCGCTCTACCAACTGAGCTAGACGGGCTTGTTAAACTCAAGCCCATTTTTTCTGTATTGATTTTCATTTCAAGGTTTTTTTGGTCAAACATCAAATTGTCCGAGAGGCTGCTGGTGCAGGACTGACTTCATTTTTTAACTCGGAACAAAGGAGCAGAGCCGCCACCTTCGCCCACTTTTGGACCTGCAAAATTCAAACCAACAACAACAATGGAGTTTGTAATTGTATGGGCGATGGTGGAGCTCCTCCTCGCCCTCAGTCTCGTCGTCGCCACAGCCTTCATTTCTGCCGTCTTCTTCGAAGCTTATCGCAGAAAAAACAACAACGCGTACGTTCTGCAATCCCCCTTTTAATTCCCTCCCTCTTAATCCTTGCAAAAAGATAACTTCTTTGACTTAAATATGATGTATTTAATTTATATTTTGTTAGGCATGTTGATGCTCCCGCGATCTTCGAGGACCCCAATTCGTTGAAACAGGTACATTTAGATTGCGGTAATTCAATTGGTTCATGGTTCAAAATTCATGTTTTTTGCTTCAATTAGGGTTTGTGGATGTTGATGCAAACTTTTGGATTTGGGTTTTGTTGCCAAGGTTATGCAAGTCAACCCTTTCGATTTCAATTGTAAAATCGTCTTTTGATGTGTTACTGAATCTTCTAGAGGCGTGTCTGTGTTAGGTTCCTTGCCCTTCGATTTTTGATCCGGCAGAGAAGTATTTATCTTTGATTGTCCCTGCATTCAATGAGGAGCTTAGGCTTCCCGGAGCACTTGACGAAACCATGAAGTAAGTTGAAGTTTAGCTAATTGCATTTCACTTCCACTTCATAAATCTATCACGATTCGGTTTTCTTTGTTTCCCTGCACCATTCCCATTTGATGATCATATTGATGGGTGTTTGATAGAGTGATCATATTATATTGTAATGACGTTTAAACCTTACTCTGTAGTTATCTTCAACAACGTGCTGCTAAGGATAAGTCTTTTACTTATGAGGTACTCTCTTGGTTCATTTGAATCCATTTTGACAGGTGTTTCCTTAGCACCCTAATTGATGGCGTAGTGACATGATGAACTCATATAATTTTACCCCCATCTAGTACCTAGATATTCGAAACTTCATTGGTGAACTACTGCAGTATTACTAAAATTTAGTAGTAATAGTTACTGATTAGTAAACACTTCAGAACACAGTTACATTACATGCCTGGTTCTTTATTTAGCTCCTTTGCCTTACTTGAGATATATTCTTGTGGACAGGTGGTGATTGTTGATGATGGAAGTGTTGATGGGACAAAAAGAGTAGCATTTGAATTTGTAAAGAAATACGGTGTGGATAATGTGAGGATTATCCTTCTCGGTAGAAATCATGGAAAGGGAGAAGCTATTAGAAAAGTGAGTCTAATCTGAACCATGCCCTTGTAATTATGTCGGATGTTATTAAAGGGCCCATCTTTTTCCCCTTACGCGTGACGATAATTGATTGAAGCTTTTTACGTATGTGAAAGCATTGTAAAACAGGGAATGCTACATTCACGTGGTGAGCTACTTCTAATGCTGGATGCTGATGGAGCAACCAAGGTTAATGACGTAGAAAAACTTGAAAAACAGGTTTGTACGAAACCATCCTAGATAAAGTTTTCCATCCGACATTTGCTTCCAAGTCTTGATGAAATTCTAACAAAGCTCTTACATACCACCTTGGGGACTCGTAAGTGTGACGATATTTTGTTTCATTCCAGATTCATGCAGTTGCCGAACAGGATAAGTTTAGGGACTCTTCTGCTGGTAATTCAAGTTTTAGAATATCTGATATCCCCATTGCTGCATTTGGTTCTCGTGCTCATCTTGAGGGGAAAGCCCTGGCTACAGTTGAGTCTTTCTGCTTGCAGCTATCTGGATATTTCAATTCTCGTCATGCTTAATTTTTTAAATATTTTAACTGATCCAGTTGGTTAATGTTTCAGAGGAAGTGGTACCGCAATTTTTTGATGAAAGGTTTTCATCTTGTGGTACTTTTGGCTGCTGGTCCCGGGATTCGGGATACACAGGTATGACTTTTTCTCCTGTTTTTACATACATTTTGTGCTTTCTTGTATTATTTCTTCTTTCGGTTTGAGAACAGCGCACATGGTTACTATTTTTTGCTTTTTTTCATATATAGCCTACTAGGTTTTAAATAAGGCATGTAGCTGTCAATGCTGACATGGTATTCTTCATGCATGACAGTGTGGTTTTAAGATGTTCACTAGGGCTGCTGCTAGGAAGCTTTTCACTAACATCCGTTTGAACAGGTAAATCTGCATTAGATTGTATATATGGCAATTTGTTTGAATAGGGAACTGCACTAAATATGGAAAAGTGCCATAGTTTATGCTCACTTCTGTTGCTTCCCAATTAAATTACAAGCATTATTTTACTGGTCCATGTTATTTTTCATTGAGTGCCGTGTAGCTTATGCTGCTTAGAGGTTTGGAAGTTGAAGGCTGGCTGTGAGTAGACATTTTTTCAAAACTTTAAGTTTTCCAGGTGGCCGTTTGATAGAGTTTCTTTATTTTTTTTTTAAAGGGAAGGGGAAAAAAGAGGAAAACTGAGCTTAGAAGATGGTGAAGCATTCAGTGTGAGAATAATAAATGCATTCATAGGGTATCACGTATACGGTGTATTGTATCTAAGTAGATTTGGAGCTTTCACGTGGTGGCTCATTTGGTTGGTATAATTTTGGGCTATTGTGTGTGATTGAATTGATGAATACCTTCTAGAGGATTTGGTAAAATTTAGTATGAAATGCATGCAGAAGGCCACATATTTTGTAGTGGTGCGCAATTTTGAAACCTGATAGGTGCAACAGTTCAATGTTTTGATGTGTTTAATGTTGTCAAAGTGGCTTGTAGGATGACTACTATATTCTGATTTTCTGTGCTTCTATGATATTAGAGATTTGTTTTACTGATCGGATGCGGATTTTCTGCAGATGGTGCTTTGATGTTGAGGTGGTTTACCTGTGCAAATGGTTCAAAATCCCAATGCTTGAGATATCTGTAAGCTGGTCTGAAATTCCTGGATCGAAGGTGAACCCATTGAGCATCCCAAATATGCTTTGGGAGCTTGTGCTCATGTCTGTTGGATATAGAACCGGCATGTGGAAAATTCGTAGCTGAGTATTGTACTTATCAAACGCCAGCGGAAAGCAAATACTCATTAGACAACTACAAGGCACCTGGTTCTTTTCCCTCCAAAGCCTTTGAAGAGATTTATAGAAGGTTTTTATTTCAAGGCCTCTTTGGGCAAAGTCGTGATCTAACCACCACGATTTTAGCAAGTAAAATCATTTGGGGGGCAACTCCAGTTTCTTCTAATCATACATTTTACGTATTCGACTTCACAATAGTGTCCCTTTTTCAACGAGCTTGAAAGTTATAAACTTGTACGTTTAAGAACGATTGGATTATGTTAACAGTATAGTACTTGTACGACTATTCGGTCATGACTGCAAAACTTTCTGAAACATAATTTGGCTTAGCCATTTCTGCTTAACTGGAGTCTAACAGTGGCTCGAACGGTCATAATTTACAAGCCATCGCTTTTTGAAAGGTTGTGATTTACAGGTAAGGAGGAATGTCTTACTTTGCTACGATACAAGTAGCCTGCATCTGGTTAGAACTGTCCAGTTAAAACACGAAAGCTTGTGTAGAGGCATTTCATGTACCCGTAAGGTGAGGCGTAAGCCTTTCGAAGAAGAAAAATACAAAATTCAACAAGAACATCAAATTTAAATGTCATCCAAACAAAGCAGGTGTTGCAGCTTATATAGTTTACCTATTGAACTTGGTCTAGTGCCTGTCAATGGTTTGCCTCAAAGCCTAACGCATCCGAGTCGATGAGATTTCTGATCCTTACGGGAATGCTTCCGCATATCCGATTCCTTTCAAATGTCATTCGCCTGAGCTTTGTTGAGAGATTGCTGTTTGATTCCGGCAGCGCTCCTCCAAAATTATCGTTATCAATATATAATCTTTCTAAATTGGTGCAGTTAACTCGAAGATATACTTTTACTTATATGGTGATGTTCCATTCCCCATATCACCACGGAAGGAGTTGTAAATGCGTAGTTGTTGCAGGCGGAACAAGCGACCAATTTCTCAAGGGATGGTGTGGCTAAGGCTATTGTTTTGGAGGTTTAATATCCCGAGGAAGCTCAAGGTTCCAAAGTGGGGAGATTGAGTACCTTCAAGCCGGCTTGACCCAGGGTCAAGCACTGTGACTCTCTGGTGTCTTACGATCGACATGCATGCTTTGTTCTATGAACTGAAGAAGTAAGCCTCTTCCTTCTTGAAAGAGAAGATAAAAACCGCTCGTTTGGCGCTGACTGATGTAACGCCTGCAGAACTGTAAGTCTCTTCTTTGTTCATAGTCTTCCTTCCTTGTGTGGGATCTTAAGACTTGAATTTTTAATGAGAGTTCATGCGGATGGAGTTTATAGAATGACAGAAGCCACAAATGAGAATCCATGGCCACCAGACACACGTACGGTTGGAGTAATATCAAGGGCTGCCTTCGAAATTGATGATTATTGCAGGATTGTGGACATTCTACATAAGAGATTTGTCCAATTTCAAGGAGACGGGTGAATGGTCTAAATTGATACGGTTCTCAATTTAACTAGCAGTTGTGAAAATTTATTCTAAGATGTCTTGGTATTAGAAATGAAATTATTTATCATGTTTACTGTATTAACCCTTCATTATTACTCGCATTCATCGTTTCATGAGCTCGTGCTTGGTGACATATCATTTAGTTTGCAAATTTAATTTTTAAATCTCTAGCATTACCCCAAGTTTAACTGGAGGTCGAGCCTAAGGAAGTATCGAAAAGAGTACTAAAACTTGTCGAAGATGAGGTGTTTTTCAAGGAAGAGAGGGCCAGAGCTAGGAATCTAAGAGCATTTTCAATGGAAGTCCCTAGTTAAAGACTCTCACCACCATTTTTAAGTACTCATTTAAGGACTAAAGGGGAATCCTTGTGTCTCAAAAAGAATATTGCCTCCAATGGTAGAGTTCTTATAGTAAAGTCCCTAAATTTGAAGTTTTTATGATTTTATGTGATAATTTGATTACGTGCACATTTTTTGTTTATGTTAACTTTTTTTTAATTAATTAAAAACATTAAAATTAAAATCATTAAGATCTTCAATCAAGATTATGGGTCCCATTTCCACTCAAGGTGCAAATTTTTTTGTTTATGTTAATTATTTTTAATTAATTAAAAGCATTAAAAATTTTAAAGGCTTCAATCAAGAATGTGGGTCATGTTTTCCACTCAAGGTTGTCCCTATACAGTCCCTATATGTGAGGACATACACTATGTATCCAGTGAGTCCCTATAGTTTAGAAACTCACTTTCCGACCCATTGGAGATTATTTTGTCCCTGTATTTGTTTTATATCGATTTTATACGGTGGTTGTCCTTATTTAGCGAGCCTGCAACGTTCTTTCGTAGATTAAAGCTTGAATCACTTGTCTTCTGAAACGTATGAGAGGCGTAATTCTCACTACAATGATCATCAAAGTCATGAAAAGTAAATTCTTCGGCTCAAACAAGAAGTTCGTAACGAAACAAGCGATGGAGAAACCGCAGCAAAATGATGATCACGACATCTCAAAACCTGGAATAAAAGCGAAAGAAATGACCCATTTCAAATCTGACTCCTAAGATTCTCAAAGTTATAGCAGTGATAAGTGGAACAGCATAAAGGATAACAAAGTTGGACATAATTCTCTCCATGATTCTATTGTCGTAAAGTTTAAAAGCATTTCCTATGAACAATAGATGGCCCAGACTCATCGTACTCTGCCTTTGCAATCCACATCTGCAACCAAGAAAACAAACGGAAAGCTCGAATTAGTAATCATCCAAGATCAACTTGGAACAGGATGCAGAAACGCAGAAATGTAGAAATGAATACAAACCTGCTGGAAGGTACTAAGGGAAGCCAAGATTGAGCCTCCGATCCAGACACTGTATTTCCTCTCGGGTGGTGCCACCACCTTGATCTTCATACTGCTTGGGGCAAGGGCAGTAATTTCCCTGCTCATTCTATCAGCAATGCCTGGAAACATGGTTGAACCACCAGAGAGTACAATGTTTCCGTACAGGTCTTTCCTGATATCGACATCGCACTTCATGATGGAGTTATAAGTGGTTTCGTGAATGCCTGCTGCTTCCATTCCAATCATTGATGGTTGGAAAAGGACTTCTGGGCATCGGAACCGCTCTGCACCAATGGTAATGACCTGCCCATCTGGCAATTCGTAACTCTTCTCAACTGCAGAGCTGGTTTTGGAAGTCTCCATCTCCTGCTCATAGTCAAGGGCAATGTAAGAGAGTTTTTCCTTCATGTCTCTAACAATTTCACGCTCAGCAGTGGTAGTGAAGGAATATCCACGCTCCGTAAGAATTTTCATCAAGTGATCAGTGAGGTCACGACCAGCAAGGTCAAGACGAAGGATGGCATGGGGGAGGGCATACCCCTCGTAAATGGGGACTGTATGGCTGACACCATCACCAGAGTCAAGTACAATACCTTCACAGCAAAGCCAAAACACACCCGTAAGTAGAGATGAGAAGAAGATGATTTAGATAACATATTTTAAACCCAGGTCAACATGTAAAGATAAACAATCAAGCATGCCATTGTTCGGTTATTGGAGACAATTTCAAATTAACACCCTTTCTGCAGGGAAGACCAATCTATATACTTACCGGTTGTACGACCACTTGCATACAGGGACAGAACAGCTTGAATGGCTACATACATAGCAGGAGTGTTAAAGGTCTCAAACATTATTTGGGTCATCTTCTCACGATTGGCCTTAGGATTCAGAGGTGCCTCAGTTAGAAGAACTGGGTGCTCTTCTGGGGCAACACGAAGCTCATTATAGAAGGTGTGATGCCAAATCTTCTCCATGTCATCCCAGTTGCTCACAATACCATGCTCAATAGGGTATTTCAAAGTTAAAATACCACGCTTGGACTGAGCCTCATCACCAACATAAGCATCTTTCTGGCCCATGCCAACCATGACACCAGTGTGACGAGGGCGGCCTACAATGCTAGGGAACACAGCTCGTGGAGCATCATCTCCAGCAAATCCAGCCTAAACAGTAACATTAAAAACAAGCGTTAAAATACAATGTCCAGAAAAGAAAGAAAAAAAAAAAAAAAAAGGTACAATCATCCAAACCATCTGCACATCAAATTTAAATTCTAGTCAAACAGAAGTAAACATATTTTAATACCTTGACCATTCCCGTTCCATTATCACACACGAGTGGCTGAATGTCCTCAGCTTCTGCCATCTTCTTCTACCCGCTAGGCACACAAGAATCAATTACATCAGCTCCCTTTATGTTTAAGGCCAAGAAACAATTTCCTCATATGAAAAGAAAAGAAACAGACAACACATCACCACACCAAAATTTTCCCAAGTGCTTTACCAAAAGTTCTCTTGCAGCTAAATATAGAAAACTTAACAAAGAGTTCCATCCAATCCAAATGAAAGACTGCTTGAAAGCAATGGAAAGGAATTCAGGGAGTCAAGGTTACAAGTGGAACACAAACACACACCCACGATGTAGCATAAAAGCAGACCAGAAAAACAGAAACCGAAAATAATATGGTTCTTGAAAGAATGTTTGCAAGATGTAAGAAGCCCGAGGCAATCAACAAGCATCCAAGACTAGTAAAAAACCAATCACATCCAAAACGATAATGAAATGATCCAAGATACTGAACAGGATCAAATGGCCGAAGGTGAAACATGTACCAATAAATCTCAATGCAACAACAAAACAAGAGGCAAGAGACCGGCCTTCACGGGGTCTAGAATCACCCATTGAACTTGTAATCAACAATACTGATAAAAATCTATATGGACTGAAAGTTATTCAAAAATACGAAACAAAGGGACAACAACAACACTGCTAAGTTCTCTCTTTTTGTGGGCATTCCTGATTTTTAATTCTGTGTTCATGTTTCCAGAATCTTCAGTTATTTACGTTTTCTGCAATACCAGTTATGAAATGAAGCAATGTTGTTGTAATGACATGGTGGCAAGAATATTACATCATATATCCAAACATGATTCAAAGCATACACAACCCATCAAATGTTAACACCCTTTTTTTTTCAGCAAAAAAGGCAATTGGGCAAATCCCAAGTCACCATTTCAGCATACGAACAATTGAAGAAAAAGACAAGTTTTTCAGTCTGAAACGCGATCAAACCCCACAACATTCATAACCAGTATTCAAAAACTACCACAAGAAACAATGCAGCAATGTAATCATAAAGAAATTACACACATGCAAGATGCAACCCAAAAAAAAAAAAAAAAGAGGAACCCAAAAACCATTATCTAAAGCACCATGAATCAGAGAAGTAAACCGAGAGGGGGTGAGAAAATTGACCTTTTTCTGGGAATGCGACGAGGGAGATCGAAGGCGAGAGAGAGAGAGAGAGAGAGAGAGGAGACAACGTGTTAGGGACGGACAGAGTGGCGTTTGAGAGTGGGCGAAGGAGGAGGAGGAGGCCGACTTCAAATTTGGGCCGTTGGATTTTGGTGGAAATGCAGAAGACTTCAGACCGCGTCCAATGGGTTGTGTTGGGCTCCCTCGCCTTGCGTTGTTCCACTCATTTTTCTCATCTGGTTTGACCCTTCTGCCCCTAGTATACCTATTTTCATTATTCCACTACCCCATTAACCTCTACCCTTTTCTTTAAAATAAAAAAAAAAATGAAAAAAGTAGTTATCTGATTTCAGTAGGGAAAGTGGGTCCCTTTCTCAGTTTCTTTATCTCGCATTACAGTTAATTCGACTCTATTTATGACGACGTGACAACATCTTAGTGACTTGCCTTAAATGTTTGACTCGTTAGCTTAGACTTTCATTTTATTTATAAGCCTCACATCGAAACGTTTAACTATCAACACATAGTATATGAGCAGATGAGTCTACTTCTGTGAAATTAGCTACGTAGTTTCATGAATATCGTCTTTTCAATTCAAATCATTTCAGTATTCATTTACGTATAAGCTTAAACTTAATATGATTAACACATGTAAACTGAAAACGTTTAACCATCAACGTGGTATAAGCAAATGATCCTATTGAATGTGCAATAAGGAATCTATTCGTCATTGGTGATGCCATACTGGCAAATGAATAGATTTGGAATGCGCACAAGTAACTCATCATCACTCTCCTTGCATTCATGCTCTTCACGCTTTTCATACCGATGTGGTTTGCTTGCCAACTTGAACAATATTTCAGAAAGCTGTAACGTTGGGCAACAATAAAAAACATTATTGAGTAAAAAGGTAAGGCTATGAACAACATTTTAGATGTCAAGGACGATCCACTTAAAAGTCACACAAATGTTGTTGGCAGAATACAAATCCTCACTGTCACCAGCTAGGCCATGTTCTTCTTAAATGTGTTCTTATAGCGTGGACCGAAGCAAGATTCTAAGCTACTATAATCTACAGAGAAAAAGATTTGAGCTTTCGTGCAAGTTGTTTCTGAAATTATTGATTACGATTAATATAATAAGAATTTAAGAAAAAAAAAATAGAGAAATGTCATAGATGGTCTAGAAGTTCAAATTACAAAACAGTTAAAACGGGAAGAACAAGATGACCTATGTTTCATAGATCGACAAGCAAATCCTTCGTTTCAAATGAAATGCTAAGATCGTCTGAAATTGACTCTGATTTTAACTTCTTCAAGTTCCATCACCAATCCGGCGTGGGTGCAATCCAGGAGTCAATGGCTTCTACAGGAATGGTGGTAGGATCACCCATCGGCGTGGATACTTGGGTCTTCCTTCTTTCCCGTCAAATATCTGCGATGGCACAAATCGTGTTAAATGCACTCATATTCGATACAAACTTGTATCACAACATTCTGACACCATGAATAAAACCTATAAATGTTAAATATGCTCATCCATCGGACATGGTTTTTCCACATTCCTATAAAATAGAAATAGAACAAAAGCGGCAGGCAATTGTATGTTTGTCACGAAAGCTAATTTTGAACCAATCGAAGTAAAGCACTCATTTAACATAATAAGAACCGATAATCTTGATATCACATCCCATCGAAGTTCAGCTTCTGAAGCATTTATTAATCGTGCACGCAAACTAACCCATCCGTGCAGTGATACACAATCTAAACATGAAACTATCACATAAAAGTATGTAATGTAACTATATATAGAGTTGTTCTCTAACAAGGACTTCAGACGAAGTCCTTAGTTAAGAACTCAATTATCCGCACACTGAGATACAAATATTTCGTCAAGAACCTTATTAGAGAATAAGGATGCATGTAAGAATAAAGACTTTGATTTGTAGAGCACAAAAGTTTATATGATTACCTTCTTAAGACGGCGGTGCTTGGCAAGGGCCCAATTGGTCATGATAGAAGCAGCAACTATGAGAAAGATATAGCCAGCAACTGTCTGTGTTGCTATATTGAAGCCCAACCACTGATAGATCTCTGTAGTGTAATTTGCACATGTCACAATATTGAACAGAAAACCACGTGGGATCTGATATCCTCCATTCCCATCAGGGCTTCGCAGGTTCCTCAAAAGGATATGGCAATAGAAGTTTGAGATTTGACATATTATCCCAATACCAAACCCAATCTTCATTTGGAGGTCACTAACAGGGGTGTAAAGCGGGTGATTCAGGTAGTAAGCTATGAAAGCACCAAAGCTCCAATAGTAAGCACAATTCCGGAATACATTAGAGAGTGGCGAGGTTGCATGGCTGAAGCGATGTACAAAAAATGTTTCCATAATACGTTTGAAGTAGTGGAAGCACCAGTAGAATAGGGCATATGTCTGGACAGGGTGGATGACACGGTCTCCTTTGAAGCCCAAATAATCATAAACAGGGAAGTAGTAAAAGATGGGGTAAAGGATCAAGGGGCCCAAATACTCAAAGAAGAAGAGTGTTCTGTATGACACTTGTGGACCTAGGTCCTTGAACACCACAGTTAGGTTGTCTGAGTTTCCGCTGATGTAATCTTGGAGACTCTTCTTGTAGCTAAGGACAACCGGCCTCTCCTTTGATCCTGGTTGGACGGGGAGAGTAAGCCGCTGTCTTGCAGGATAGAACTTTTTGGCTGTTGACATAAGACATGAAATCACTTAAAAAACAATAATCTTACAATAAATAGAGCCACCTATAGAAACACAAATTTCTTTTTGAAGTTTGTAATGGGTCAAGGCACATAAGGATTAAGGATGAACAAGCATCAGCAATGACATAAACCAACCGCCTATAACCAAAGAAAAATACACATGTAAACAACAAATAATTAAGGCCAGGTACCAAAGTTCTGATCTTGCTAACGAATCTAAAAGATCCTACGGGTTTAAATAGTTCTATTTCTAAAACAAAGAAAGTGAACTGCACACCAAAGTTTCATAATTTATTCTTCATTTTCTTTCAAATTCCAATGATATTAATCTTGACGTATATCAGATAGTCTACATATTCAAATAACTGCAAAACAAATAACTCTTGTTTGGTACATTCTCTTTTAGGCATTTAAAGTGTGGATATTGAGGTGAAGCAGCTATCTTATTGGTCCTCAATTCAGTTTTCCACAAGCTTTTCATTGATCCTCAATTCAGTTTTCCACAAGCTTTCATACTTTAAATTCTTACATTAGCATCTATACATTATAACTCAAATAGATTAAAGGATGTTACCGTATAGTTTGTTTTACGTAATAATGTAATATTTTCATAAGAAGAGGAATACTTACTAATCTCATGAAAAGACAATACTACATGATTGCGTCTACAAAAAATAATAAAACTAGTTAAAGATGCATATGCAAAACCCTATTCCTAAACTTAAGCAAATATGATGCAGAGCAACTAGCCTTCAAATCACAATTTGTAAGCTATAGATATAGCCCTCAAACAATCTTATCGTTTTCGTTAAAAGACGATAATCAACCAGAAAAAACACTATCAATTCTCAACAGACTGTACTTATTCAGCTATACAAGGTCAAGAGAAAAAGAAGTATATCAGAGCACTTACTTCGCTTATGGATTGCATCCTGCAGATCAGCTACTGTGGCCTGCAACACAAACAGTGACACCAACAAACTCAGAAAAGCTAACAATTAACTAAACTGAACCTAACCCAAATCCAAAATTCTCATCCAAAACTTGAATCTTTAACTAAACTGAACAGAACCCAAATTCAAAATTTCCCATCTAGTGCAATCAAGTAATTTCTTATTCGAAAATAATTTGCTTTGTTTTCTCAGAAATGCAACAGATATTTTGATGAATCACAAATAAGATCAAAAAGAAGAAAAATTCCGGGAAAAAGAGAAGCATACAGAATCACTGAGCTCAAGGCCGCCCTTGACAACTTCTCGGCCACTCCGCGAAACTACGGTCACCTTCATCGTCGAGAGCAAGTGAGAGCGACCCACTTGAGCAAATCGATCAAGCAGCAAACCCTTTTAATTCTTTCAGCAAATTCACGCAATTTCCATTCGAATTTCAGAGAGTTGGGAATCAATCAGAACTCGGAAGAAAGAAAGAGAAATGAGAGTGAGACCCGGAAATGGGCTCTTTCTCTTTAATACCGACGTGAAATGTTGTTTGAGTATGGGAGTTAGAGTTAGCTTGGGGGATAACGGATGGATGGTATAATATTAATGGCGTGTAGTTGGGGTAGGAAATTATGATAGCTAAACTATCAAGGCTGATGAACAACACTAAACCCCAAACTCCTACTAAATATGTACACTAGTGACTAGTCTATGTGAAAAAGTTTGGAAGGGATTTTCCATGATGGGCCCATGTTTTTATATGGTGGGCCATGTTTTTAATAACCTATCCAATTTCGACACGTGCTGTTTTATTGTTTATGATCAATATCTAAACATGTTTACTTACTTAAAATAAAAGAAATCATGAATCAGAATAATATCAGGTTGTTAAGTATAGTTGTTTAGTTATTGAGTAAAGTACTCATTTCATGATAATTTGTTATATGGTTATTTAGGTATGAAATAATTCCGGGTGAGCATAAATGCACTCTATTACGTACGACTGACGGACGACGTCATCAATCTGATCCTCCTCACAAAAGAATGAGATCGCTTGTATTTAGTCTCACCCAACCCCACACTGGTCTCACTTCTTTGAATTTTGCAGCCCTATACGGGTGCCGCATACTAGACAAGAACTCCTTCGGGTTTGTGGATAGACAAGCGGGGGATTGACACTGACACTGGTACTTTGACAATCCACAGCTTGTCTATATTAGAAGGAGTAATGTAACAGTGTGCTTAGAAATCGTATAAAAAGAACGACCATGTACTGCAGGTGCAATGAGAACCATTGGTTTCCAAAAGCAGAAAAACATCGACAGCTTCTGGATCTAAAGTGCCAAAAAGAACCAGAACGTGCAACTTTTCCATGCCATCTTAAACAAAATCGCTAAACGAATTCCCGATTCAGTGCATCTCATCCTACAATACATATGCTTTTTCAACCTTTCCATTACGAAACACTAATCTTCAGACATCAAACCGGTTGAAGACTCGGTTCCATAAATGACTAAACAAGAATGCAGGCATGGTAGAAGTGAGTCAAAGAAAGCCTCATACTACCAAAGCAGAAGTTACATAACTAGCTACCAAATAAAGCACAAAGGTATGATATGTTCATCCCAGTAATGATTAATGAGAATACATGAAGCTGTTAGGCGAAGTCAAAAGGCAGTTACTGCTAGCGTGCTTTGAGGAGTTCAACTTTGTTTAGAACTTCTATCTGTTTTGGTCTTCCTTGTTTATAGGATGTAATTTTCAAATATTTGTAATCTGCTGATTTCTATTTGTATCTTTTGAATTTCAGAGTGCCTTGTAAATAGGGTTTTCAAACCCTCTGATGTAATCTGGTTGGCATTATAAATACATGCGTCCCTCAGTTGAAGGGTATGCAATCAAAGTGAAAAACCTGAGTCTTTAAGTTTTATAGAAGCCTCATAATTGGTTGTGCTTGAGACATTATATAACTAACAAGGAAACTCTGCAATGTCTGGTCCGATGGATTGGTCACTAGAAAGTAGGCACATCATCACAGACATCGCATTGAAATTCCTATTTTTCTTCGTCTCTTCTAGGTACTGTAAAAAAATTTCATATGCGAATGCTATATGCAGTGTAAATTTCCGTATAATATCGACGAGTAATTACACTAGTTATGTATATAAGCAGTAAGAATAGACAATTGACAAGAGGATTGTCGCAATCAAGCTATTATGTGTGTAGACAAACTTATATAAACCAAAACTGTTAGTGATTAAAATTGCAAAAACGATCTCCAAACTCTCAAGGAATGCTTCCTAGTACTCAACATGAACAGGAAACATACAACGAGAGAGAAGCAATGCCATAAAACAGGGTAGTATATCTGAGTTGAAAATCAAAGTACGTATAACACAGGCGAATGAGCAAATGGATTACAAAACATGAATTATTATTGAAAACAAAGAAACACTACAAATTCACCAAGATGGTTACATAACACAAAGACACTACATTGTAACATACTTGTTATTCTGTAGTGTTACAAAGTATTATTATATATAGAAAACTAACCTAACTCTTATAGACAAGGAAACGAAACCCTAATTATAACATGTTAGGCCCAAAAAAGCAAACATTAACATAAACCTAAGTACTAATACTTTCCAACACTCCTCATCAAACTCATGACGGTAAACAACATAAGTTTGCCAACAAGTAAATGTGGATGCAGACTCCATTAGTGAGACATACATTCTGGCTCTGTTGCGTGAATAGATAGACAAATAGGCAGGCTCCGCTACAAGCAAACAAGCAGGCAAGTTCAGACATATGGTAGATGGATATAGACTCAAATGGCGGGTGACAAATAGATTTAGGAAGACATATTCTGTTTCCAGAAGACAGATGGGAGTATGGACCCTATCACGAAACAGACAAGATTCCTATATCTCAACTGCACATCAACAAACAAATAAACAATTCCAATCTATTATTAGGTCAACGTCACTTGAGTGGTCAATCTAAACACTCGAGTAACATTGACCACTCAAGTGACATTTTCAGGAAACTTCCAAATAAGACACCAACCTATGTGGGCCTCAAAAATGCTTAACCAATTTTGTTTCCCCTGACTAGGCCTGGCAATTCCTTACACGACCCGATAACCCGACATGACACGACACGAAATTAACAGGTGTTCGGGTCGACACGATAACGAATCGGGTCGTTATCGGGTAACCCGATAAGCACCTGTTAAGATAACGGGTTGATTCGGGTATACATGTGGGTAACACGATATACGATAAGCAGAATATTATTTTTATAATTTTATAACCCTAAAAAAATACTGTAATAATTATATATATTAATTTAACAATTTTATACCCCAAAAACTATAATATATATATATATATATTAAATTAACTATAATAATTATACCCCCAAAATATTAACTATCTATAATAATTATATATATATATATATATTAAATTTTGAATTAAATTTTATAAAAACTATAATAATTATTAATTAATATGCATCCATTGATTTGATTCCATAATTGATAATTCCATTCCATTCCCTGTAGTGCCGCCCTTTTTGAAGAAAAAGGGAGGGAAAATGAAAATGATAAGAAAAGTTGAAAAGGAAACAAAAAAGAGAGGGAATTAGGGAAAAATGGGTAGGCACCATAGGCTGCCGGAGGAAAAAGTTAAAATTATAAGAAAAGTTGAAAAGGAAACAAAAAAGAGAGGGAAAAATGAAAATTAATAGAAGTGGTGAGAATTTTTTTTTTTTTTTTTTTTAAGTTATTAACTTTTTATCACACATATAACATATCTTATTATTTTTATAATGACTCACGTGATGTACTACTCCATGTACCAATCAATTATACGTACAAAATAAATAGATTTAAATCTATTTAATATATATATACACACACACACACCATTGAACTTGATGGGATACGAATTCTCCGAAACTAATTTCAACGATCCCAACCGTCAAACTTGTTTGTATATGCTTTGAGATCACATCAGCAAAAAATCACAAAAAACAAACATTCAGAAATCAAGTAACAAGACAAAGCTTTTTGACGGTTATAAACGAAAAATCACGATTTAACGGTTATTTTAACTCCGATTTTGATGATTTTTTACAGCTACACTCCTTGACCCTATATGAATACAATGAATGAATTCGATCTTCAATTTAAAATATTTACACAAGTGAATACCACAAAATCTTATGTTATACTTAATGAAAGTATAAATAAACTCTAAGTGTTAGTCAATCTATCGTTTTGATGGGATACTAATTATCTGAAACTAATTTCAACGATCCCAACCATCAAACTTGTTTATATATGCTTCGAGATCACATCAACAAAAAATCACAAAAAACAAACATTCAGAGATCAAGTAACGGGACAAAACTTTTCGACGGTTATAAATGAAAAATCACGATTAAACGGTTATTTTAACTCCGATTTTGATGATTTTTTACAACTACACTCCTTGACCCTATATGAATACAATGAATGAATTCGATCTTCAATTTAAAATATTTACACAAGTGGATACCACAAAATCTTATATTATACTTAATGAATATAAATAAACTCTAAGTGTTAGTCAATCTATCGTTTTGATGGGATACAAATTATTTGAAACTAATTTCAACGATCCCAACCGTCAAACTTGTTTGTATATGCTTCGAGATCACATCAGCAAAAAATCACAAAAAACAAACATTCAGAGATCAAGTAACGGGACAAAGCTTTTTGACGGTTATAAATGAAAAATCACGATTTAATAGTTATTTTAACTCTAATTTTGATGATTTTTTACAACTACACTCATTGACCCTATATGAATACAATGAATGAATTCAATCTTCAATTTAAAATATTTACACAAGTGGATACCACAAAATTTTATATTATACTTATTGAAAGTATAAATAAACTATAAGTGTTAGTCAATCTATCGTTTTGATGGGATACAAATTCTCCGAAACTAATTTCAACGATCCTAACCGTTAAACTTGTTTGTATATGCTTCGAGATCACATCAGCAAAAAATCGCAAAAAACAAACATTCAGAGATCAAGTAACAGCACAAAACTTTTCCACGGTTATAAACGAAAAATCACGATTTAACGGTTATTTTAACTCCGATTTTGATGATTTTTTACAGCTACACTCCTTGACCCTATATGAATATCATGAATGAACTCGATCTTCAATTTAAAATATTTACACTAGTGGATACCACAAAATCTTATGTTATACGTAATGAAAGTATAAATAAACTGTAAGTGTTAGTGAATCTATTGTTTTGATAGGATACGCATTCTACGAAACTAGTTTCGACAATCCAACCGTCAAACATGTTTGTATATGCTTCGAGATCGCATACGCCAAAAATTTCAAAAAACAAACATTCAGAGATCAAGTAACGGATCAAAAGTTTTCGATGGTTATCAACCAAAAATCACAATTTAACTGTTATTTTAACTCCGATTTTGATGATTTTTTACAGCTACACTCCTTGACTCTATATGAATATCATGAATGAACTCGATCTTCAATTTAAAATATTTACACT